ATCTCTTTTACAATTTCTATAATCTCATCTTAATACCTCGATCACAGTTTCTAGTTTCTACACTAATGAAATTTTTTCTTCCATAACTACCATTAGTCACAAGGCTTTCCACTTTTACTCCTAACTACAATTATTATTCCTAACATGTCTAATCAATATTCACTAATTCTATCAAATCATATTCTTATGTAATATGTGATAGTCCAAAAAAAAGGTACAATTCACTTAAATTTAACACATGTGACTCACAATCATCTTGGCATTACAATTCAAAGCTATTACCATTCACTCTAGTGCTCAATTATCCTTGCAATACTTTCCTCATTCACCTCCTATGATTCAATAAGAAGGAGAAATTTTGGTGATACTATTAAACCAATTCCTACTATACATAAGTCACCATTTATTACCAAAAACTCTTATGCACACAAAAAACCAATAGACATCACAAGTGTGTGAATCACAAATATAGCTAATGACAAATCAATATTGATCCTATAGAGAATTAAGTAAAATGGAAAATATGCATTGAATTTTCAATTTCATTCAAGTTAAGCAAGCAACTTATAGTGGTGAATGATTCAATTAAAAAAATAAAAATATAGAGTGAGCAACTAAGATTTTAAAGTACTCTTAAATAAACAAACAATTATGAAAGCACCTTAGAGTTCTAATCCCTCATTTTCTCCATTGCACTTAACTTATTAATTAAATTAATTTTAATTTTAGTTTTAAGGGTTTGGACACTAGAATTAATACTGAATATCTTTTGATTATTCAAAATCCTCCTTAATTCTAACTCAACAATTCCTTGCCAAAATTAGATTAAGAGCATTAAGTTTAAATCCCTTCTAACCACTTAGGTCCTTTAGGTACATTCCTATCCTAGAGGCAAATTAGCTATAGTTAATTCTAAGCATTCAATTCCAATGGTTTGAATAGAAATTTTTTTTTTCAAGATTATTTTATTCCTCCAAATTATCACCTAATGATAGCCAATCATCAACCAACTTACAAATAAACTGGAATTAAACCATAAAACATCCATTAATCACAAAGCAATTGGTAAATAAAGATACAATCGAAGTGGATGAGTTCATGGCACTCTAAAGTATCAAGGTTCATCCGCACTAGCTAAATGCAGTCTCAAAACAGTAAAATAATGGGTCAAAATCGGATACATAGGAGAAAGAAGAGAAAACTAAAGGAAAACTTAATGAAAACATGGATGGTGATTAGTAATCTTGCTTTCAAGCTTTAAAATCGCCCCCAGAACTCCAAAATCGCCGTTAGGCCTTCAAAGAGTGTTAAAAATGAAGTCTCCCTTAAAAAACTCAAGTTTCTTTCTTTTATCAAACTGAAAAATTGAAGCTGTGTGTTTTGGGTATGAAATCTACTGTATCACCTGTTGTAGCAGGCTCTGTTTCTGGATTCAAATATGCTTCATAACACTAACCTGTTGTAGCAGGTAATCATTAAATTCTAACTTCTTCCTTAAAATCATTATATTTTCCTTCTTTCACATCTTCTAAGCTTTTGCAAGGGTTCCTAAAATTAAAATGACTCAAATTAACCATCAAAATTACTCTAAAAAAAAAATCAAAATACAATATTTACAAACAAACTAACCAATACCAAAATAAACACTCAACAAAGACAAATAATCAAAAAACACTAGATGACTCTTCAATTGACTAATAAAACTTTCAAAATACATAAAAATATATATGGTCATCACACAGTCTCTTTACTCATAGACTTCATATTGGCGATTACCACTATGCCTCTAAACGGACAATCACACAATTTAGTGATTAAAATATGATACCATAAATCCAAATTGAGCCTCAACAATGCCATTTTCAACCTCTTAAAAGTACTGTTAGGTGTAGTTACAATGTGGATAGGGATTAAATGCAATTTTCAAGTTTCCGCATGCTACCCAATAGGTAAAAAGCATGAACAACCATTTATTTAACATCAAACATCAAACATGTTTGAAGTCAGTAGTAATGCCCATTTATTACACGATTAAGGGTGAGGTTGCTACTATTAAATATTTTATAATAAAAAATATTAAAAAATTTAAATATGGTACTCACTCAACATAAAAGGGGGTACCTAGTAACCTTTCACGCATAATTAATGGATAAAAATGACTTTTAACCAAACAAAATAATTAATCAAAGCCGGAAACAAACTCAAGAACAGACATGTGAACAAAATGAACAAAGTTTCCTTTTTGAACCCGCTCCGTCATTCTTACATGCACACACACTTATTTGAGTGGTTGGATTTCAAGCATAGTTTTTTTTTTTTTTTTTGTAAACTGGATTTCAAACATAATTATGTTCAATTGAGAGTAACTTCTTAAGAAACATTTTTTTTAACATATGCACAAACTCAAATGTAAAACCTTACATTTAAATGACCATAACTCATTCTATTATAATCGACTCATGTTGGTGGCTCCTTCCTTCTTTGACAGCAGTGAATATGAACTATTGCAAATAGTATATGTTAATTATACATAATTTATTTGGATTTAATTTTTGGGACAAAAATAATTTATTTAGAATATGTAGATACGTAAAACTTTAATAAAAGGAAAATATAGAATAATACTACAAAGGTAAACTCAACATTGAAGGCACACAAAAACAATCCGAGATGACAAAAAAGCTACAATAAAACAAAGGTCTCATTGAATCAAACGAAGATCAATTAAATATAAATTCATACCTTTCCTAATTTCCCTGCCATAATATTTTACATTATTGCTGGCAATACACACACATGAATGAATGTATGTTTGTGTATGTATGGTGGAAAATCTTTTTCATTCTTGTCACTTTCTTGTTGGAAAAGTCTCCAAATTCTAATTTGACATTCTTAAGATAAAATCTTTTTAATTTCCTTTTAATTTGCAGCAACAAGTTGTGATGACCTGGGTGGCTGTTTCATTTATGAAAGGCTGGCAAATGAAAGATGGTACTAGAATTAGACATTAGAAATATCGTATTAAGATACCTAATTAAGTCTATAACTTGTTAAATACGACGCTACAGAGATAATGTTGAATAATATTTCGTATGTTGAAATGAACGATACTGTAACATAACAGGATAACACCATTGGAAGTAGTCTACGAAAATGGTATGTGCAGAAGTAATAAATCAACGTTATGTGTAGGAATAACGTCGATTATTATAAAAAAAAAATGAACAAAGATTAGCATGAATTATAGTTGCTCTAGTTATTAATGCAAGTTGATTAGTATTTTTGTATATTTTACATTAAATTTTTTTTAAAATAAAGTCTTCTTATCGTAATAGTCCAATGTTACTATTGTAGCAACTCTTTTATCGAATAAAACTTATTATTAATATCTTTGTACGTTCAATTCAAAATTATTTTAATTATTTTTGGTGCACTAAATATTTGCATCTCGGTTTCATACGTCAGATTTTTTTGCAGTGTTTTACTGTTACTTTTATTATGTCTCAAAATTCATTTGTCGTGAAAATAATAAAAAAAATGACACTAAAATTTTTGTAAAATATATAAATAATAATTTAATTTTTAAAATGTCATAATTTTTTTAAATCTTTAAGAAATTTTTTATTATTAATAAATTTATATAAATTATTAAATTATCCTTGTTAAAAATAAATAATTCACAAGTTTTGTTTAAATATTTACAATTTTTCTTCTTATATTCGTAACAATATAACAACAAATAAGGATTAACATATGAAGTTGTAATTTGTTATTGTATTATTGTAAATATAAGAAAGAAAATTCTGAATATTTAAACAAAGCTTATGAATTATTTATTTTTAATAAAAATAATTTAATAATTTATATAAATTTATTAATAATAAAAAATTTAAAAGATTTAAGAGAATTATTACATTTTGAGATATTAAATTATCATTTACACATTTTAAAAAATTTTTATTATTAGTTTTCCCAATAATAAAGAAGCTTTCTCTCGCCAAAATAATAATAATAATAATAATAATAATAATAATAAAGCAGCTTTCTGCATCACCCAATAAAAGTCAAAGGAAAAAAAAAAACCAGCTTCTTAACTGACAACCGTGAGAATTCAAAATTGTCTTTTCTTAGTGACGTCCAAGTTTGACTTTGACTCCACTCAAGCACATCCTTTGAAAGAACCAAATCAAAAAATAAAAGGAAAAAAGAAAAAATAAATTAACCGCATAAAACTAGCTCAAATAGTTAGAAGTAAGATAAAATTACCTTCAAATCCTATTGGAGTAAAAAATAATGATTATACTAATTTAATTTTTAAAGTTCCCTGAAAACTAAACAAATATTTATGAGAAAATAGCATTCGAAGACCACTATATAAAATTTATATCTCATAAAAATTAAATGATTTTAAAATAGCTCTGCAGTTCTCTAGTTTTTTTGACATATTAATTTCATAAGTGAAAAGACTGAAATCCCCTTCAAGTAGTTAAAAAACAAACCCAAAAAAAAAAGAAACCCCACCGTTGCTAGAGCCAGCCATCAGATCACATTTTATCATGAGATCAAACCCTCTTCTAACCATCTAAAAAAATTATTTTTCAAATAAAATATTGCTGATGCTAGAATTGTTGGTGACCCAACTGACTAGAATTGTTGGTGACCCAACTGACAGCAGGGGCTCTAACAATCTCATCGCTAGTGGTAGCCTAATGGTTGGCAATGATAAGGGTTTTTTTTTTGTTTTTTTATTTTTATTTTTTAACTACTTGATGAGTATTTCAATCTTTTTACTTATAAAATTAATATGTCAGAAGGATTAAAAAACTGCAAAGCTATTTTAAAATCATTTGATTCTTATGAAATATAAATTTTATATAATAATTCTTGAATGTTATTTTTTCATTAATGGTGTTTCTATTATAAAATTATACAAACATTAAAAAAGGAAGAAAATTAGAGGGATATCTAATCAAACGTCAACTTGCGGCAGATGAAGTCCATGTTGGCAACATTTTTCAACTCACGTGGGAAAAAAATAATACCAAAGCGGATATGCAATCACCTATGGCTAAACAATGCTTCCTGATGACGACCTGTTCCACTACAACATAAAAAGCTTGAAAAATAGCCGTGTCAAACTTCGAAAAAACAATCCCCATAAAAGGAATCCGTTCATGACCTTCTTCTCTCTTCTTCTTCTTCCACCCATTCTCACTGTTGCAACCAGGTATCTGGTGACAAAACAGTAACTGATAAATAATCCTCGAAGATGGCGTCTCCCCTTAAAAACTGTGCAATCTTCTACACACTAATTTGCCTGAGCGGTTTTCTCAGCTTGGAAAGCCTAGCAGCGCCAACCTACCTTGATTATTACTGCACAGAAAATGGAACCTATGCATCTGATAGCAGATTTGGTGGCAATCTCAATGCTCTCCTTCATTCCCTCGCCACCAACGGCACCCAGGGAAAGGGATATTACACCGTCATGGGCTTCGGATTGCCCGATGCCGTCAACGGGCTTTTCAACTGCCGGGCAGACCTTAGCATCAGCAGTTGTCAACAGTGTGTCACCACCGCAGCCACCGCGATCACGCAGCGTTGCCCTAACCAGACGGAGGCCATCATCTGGTATGAAGAATGCATGTTGCGTTACACTGGCAGGTAATAACAAATAACCAAGGAATACCTTTTCATAGAAAATAATAAGGTGTGTATAAGAAACGGTTAGATTTCAATGAAATGATCATAACTCAGAAATTATAGATTTTTCCGTGTTTCAATCAATGAAGTTTCAAATTACTCTCATGGCTAGAAATTCTTGCGTCGGTTCAATAATGTATAAACGGTAAGTTTCTCTTGTTTTTATGGTCAAATATAAACTATTGGACTTCATCGTTTGAAAAATCTAGGTATTTTAAGTATGGCAGCACCGAACCTGGGAGGAACTTGGTTGACGGGAGGAACATCTCCGGCAACGATTTGAATGCATTCAATCGAACGTTGTTCAGCTTGTTGAATAATATAGCAAAAGAAGCAGCGAATTCTCAGACAGCAGAGAAGTTTGCCACCGGCGAAGCAAAGCTTGGCAGCAACCAGACTGTGTATGGGCTATCGCAATGCACGGTGGAAATACAGTCGGCTCAGTGTGAGACTTGCCTGAAAAATGCCATCGGAACTTTTCCGACGTGTTGTAACCGAGCCGGAGGGGCAAGAGCTCTGCTGGCGGCTTGTACTGTCCGATATGAACTGTATCCATTTTACACTTCATCCGATTCATCATTGACTTCTTCAGGTAAAATCTATAATCTAGATATATATATATATATATATATATAAAGGAATCAAATTGCAGTACTCTTCATTTATCATTTATAGTTCTCTTTTCGGGAAGTCAGCTGACTCAGTTTTTATATACGGGTCTTCCAGCTATGATTCATCAATTTGTTGTACATTTTAATTAAGATTTGAAGTTTCTAATATTCCATTGTTTCAGATCCTATTTATTGGCTAAGATGAGATCACATCAGAGTTTCTAAGGATTGGAAAACAACGTTTTATCAAACCACACCCCCACCCCAAAAATAAAAACAAACAACAAAAAAATCGGCTTTTGTGGATTCAGAAGCTCCCTAGACACTTAATACTTCCTAGACCTTCTTTTTGATCACTTATTGCAAAGGAAGTTGGGGGAATCATACAAACATTATTATACACTTGCAATATTGTAGTTAATTTAGTGTTTTTTGTTTACTCATGAATTGCCAGAGAACGATTATTTTAGGCATTTTTTTTTTTTAAAAAAAAACGCAGGGACGAAGAAACTTTCATCACGAGCAATTGCCTTGACTGTGGTACTTGTTGTGGCTTCAGTAGTTCTCTTGGGTTTTGTCAGCTTTTTTCTGCGGCGAAGAGTAAGGAAGAAGCAGAGGACTAGGACTATTTTAAGGGAAAATTGTAAGTAGTATGAAAAAAAATGTATGACATCATCCATTCACAAATTCTTACCTTAAAAATTCACCTGTGCAGTTGGGGAAGAAATGGCTACTTTGGAGTCCTTGCAATTCAGTTTGGCCACAATTGAAGCTGCCACAAGCAAGTTTTCACATGAGAAAAAAATTGGCAGAGGTGGTTTTGGAGAAGTTTACAAGGTGACAGACATGCACATGCCTACATACATGCGTGCACATGAGCGCACACCCACACATGCACACGTACACCTATACTCACAGCACACACAAGCATACAATGTGGTTTTGTATTTAAAAAAAGAAGTATACAGTGTGGTTGACTAATGGTATGATTTTAGGGAACTCTTCCGGATGGACGAGAAATAGCTGTCAAAAAGCTTTCAAGAAGTTCTGGGCAAGGTGCCATGGAGTTTAAAACTGAAATTTTACTAATTGCCAAGTTACAACACAGGAATTTGGTGGCTTTATTAGGATTTTGCCTGGAAGCACGGGAGAAAATGCTCATTTATGAATATGTACCCAATAAAAGTCTTGATCACTTCCTTTTTGGTGAAGCACTTCTATCCCTATCCCAACAAGTTAAAATGCAATATTTCATATCTGATTATGATAGCACCTGCCATAAAAAACAGAGTTCACCTTTGTACTAACTAGCTCTAGTGACTCGTGATGATTTTATAGATCCCAAAAAGGAGAGGGTGCTAAATTGGTATGAACGTTACAAGATCATTGGAGGAATTGCAAGAGGAATTCATTATTTACATGAGCATTCTCGACTCAAAGTTATACATCGTGATCTCAAACCAAGCAATGTATTGTTAGATAACAACATGAATCCAAAAATTTCAGACTTTGGCATGGCAAGAATAATTGCTATAGATCAAGATCAAATAAATACTAATAGAATTGTTGGCACATAGTAAGTGTTTCTATTCTTTTTGTTTGTCTCATCTCTTCCATGTACTTAATTTAGATACAAACATATTCTTTGTTGAATAAAGTATTCTTGAACTTTCGGTAAACACTTGCTTTGATGTTTTCCTGTCAAAATCCCATGCTTGTCAAATGCCATCAATGAAAGAGTTTATGTGACTAAACTGTTAAATATATTAAACATATAAGGAGGTCTATCTAGTTTTCCATGTTCATGATATGCTCCAATGTTTGTTCAATCTTAAATAATTCTAACTAGCACTCTTTTTTTCTCCCTAATAGTGGATACATGTCTCCAGAATATGCAATGCATGGCCAATTTTCTGAGAAGTCTGATGTATTCAGTTTTGGTGTCATTGTTCTTGAGATTGTTAGTGCAAAGAGGAATGCTCGTCCCATTGAAACACAAGATCTTGATGACCTCTTAAGTCAGGTGAACATAAAATCCTAATAATTTGTTTTCCATTTTGTTAATGATGTACACATCACCATCTTGAGCTTTGTAGTAAAAAGAAAGCCAAAAAGAAAAACAGAGCCCAGTGGTTTAATGATAAATGTAATTGGTGATATTGCTTCAGGCTTGGAAACATTGGAGGAATCAGACACCGCTTGAAATAATGGACCCAGAACTAAAAGACTCGTTTACTCAAGGTGAAGTGATCAAGTGCATCCAAATAGGTCTGTTATGCGTTCAAGATAACCCAGAAAACAGGCCCACAATGGCAAGGGTTGTTTCATATCTAAGTAGCCTTTTAGCAGAATTGCCATTGCCTCAGGAACCAGCATCCCACATGGATACTGATTTGAAGCTGAACTTGGTATCATGGGAATCCAGTACAGGTCAATCTACCCAAAATTCTATGACATCCTCAAATCATGAAATGTCTAAGAGTACTCATATTCCAAGGTAATATGACTTTGATGGCTTAGAAGTATGATATGCCATATGTCCATTGTAAATTAATAGAATTTTTTGGCAATGTCAATGCTAGATGATAATCTATATATGAATTCTCTCTCCTTTTATTTCTCTGTACTGGTCCTGCCCATTTGAGACATACATTCAGAAATCTAAATTTTTAACGACCCTTCAGCGATCACAATTTACTGAGGGAGGAAAGAATGTACAATTGGTGCAGTTCTCAAAGTTCAAGGAAGGTGGAGTATAATATAATACTGACCTCGAAGGAAGCTTAAATGGCCGTCAGGTGCTATTTCCATAAATGTTGAAAAGATTAAGACCATTGCCACCAAGAAAAAAAGAAAAAAAAGAAACTGGTATGACAGTAGGGGCCGCAAACATTTGGAAACTAGTTGAATATTAAGTCGTAAAACTGCAATCACATAAAGTACAACAAATTATGAAGAAGACATATCATCAAACACCTTTCGAGCATGGGATGAATGCAGAATTCCACCTCATGTATAGAGCCATAACCCCATGGCTGAATCGTATGATATCTCATATTTAGATCAACAGCTATAAAATGTAGTTTTGAAAATTGATCAATACGAAATGGATTCAAAGTGGAGACACTCTCATAAAACGGACCATCGAGTAGACAAAGAGGCAGGCAGGCGTACATGGGCTGTGCTATTAATCTTGAAGCAGCTAAGCAGCATATGGATGCAGCGGCTAACGTAAACTGATGCGTTTGGATCTCCCCAGTCGTCCCCTCCGGCTCCAGTATTGTCTCTGGTTTACTATCCACATTCCGCATAGTCCCAACGTCTCAACCCAACGACGGAGAAAAGGCCGAAAGGGTCAAAGTTGTATTGCTGACGAGATATAATCGTTTCTGTTTTTTTGGGTCAGGCTTGAATTGGGTTGAGAATTTGGATTTGAAGGATAATTTGGGCACCGGCTCATACCCGCCTAATTATTAAGAGGTCCAATTTTGGTGTTCATATAGCGATAAGATTTGAATCATATAAATTAGATTTAGATAATTCAAAAAAAAAATTTTATTATAACTTTAGACAATAGACATTTTATTTTTACAGAATCATAATTATAAAAATATATTTATTTTAGATTTTGCAGTTATTAAAGTAAAAATATAAAAAAACATAAAACAGTAAAAAATAAGACAAGATCAGAACCGTCAAATTTCAATCAAGATAATCTAGATTTCGAGCTCATCATGAACACCGAAACTCAATCCATTGGTAAGCCGTAGATTGGCGCATTGCATGATAATCTGTTTCCATTTGTGTGAAAAGTCCATCTTATCGAAAAATATACCTAAAAAGCATTCAAAAAATTATATGGCATCCGCTTGAATGCACAAAATCACTTTAATAAGTTAATATTGTTAAGTTGGCCCAAAAAAAAAAAAGCTCATATATTCAAAGCTAAGACGCTTGTTCAATGGCCCTGTTGCTACAATATATATTACGCTATCGGTGATCAATCTTGCTCCTTAATTTCTAATGATAAAATACTTTTGAACAAATTACATATAGTAAACTGAACGGACAAAAATCGTATTATATCCATCAAACTAGGTGGCAAACAAATTGTTGATGAAAATGTCAAAGAATTATTAAATATTACCAAGCTGTTGGAATGGTTAATTATTATGTAAGAAGTCATTCTTGACAATTCAAATCTGAATCAATATCAATATTATTAATTTTTTTGGTCTTGTACGGAATAACTAGTGGGAACTGGAAACAAATTTCAAAGCGAAGCATAATTATTAAATGTCGTATTGGGCAGATAAAATCATTAAACATATATGTAAGAGTTTTTTTTTTGTTTTGGGGACAAAATATATGTAGGAATTGGAATGTAATGGTTTATTGAAAACATAATAAAAATACAAAATAATATCAAGCTACAACCTATTTCTCTCTATTTCAAAGCAATTGGCCTTTTGAAGTTTTAATTTTTTTTTTCAAAATAAATGTTCTTGTATGTGCTTTTAATAAAGTGTTAATCCGTTTTATATATCCTTTTATCGTTCGTCATAATTAAATAAAATGTTAAGAGTGTATAAAGTCCATGCATTCATCTTAAGTTTTGAATAGTTTGCTTATATGATGGGCGTTTCATGCAAATAATATAAGGAACCCTTTATAGTTAATGAAAATAATAATATAAGTGGAATTCAATTGTTACAATATTTTCAAATTTTTATATAAGAATATTTAAGTCAAATAACTCTCTCAATATATGATGTGCACATATAATTTTTTAATGGACAACTATGTTAATAGGGAGCAATTGTTATACATAATTTTTGAGAGAAATAATATAATTAATCTATATATGTTAAATTGTCCAAGTGTAAATGAATTTGATTGATGTAAGAAATTTCATATCAAATAAAGTTAAGCTCCATAACTAATATAAAAAAAGAGAACTTATAAATTTAAATTTTAAAGTTTTGAGTCAAAGATTTAGTATCATTACACTACTCTTGTCCACTTTTCCTTTCTCTCATTTAAGCAGTTGCCCTCCATTAAAAATGTTACTTTTATCACTGCCGTTGCTGTCTATGACATATACATGATCAGTGAGTCTTCATATCGATTTAAGTTTGTATGTTTAATTCATTACAACTAATGGGATGTTAAGTTGAAAAAAAGTTGCATATGTATAAAATATAATTATCTTTGGCTGGCGCTCTTCGTTTCGCTTTCCAACAAGCAACTACATTTCTTTTAGTTTTTAATTTTAGCCAGAGAGACACATATAGCTGTTATTAGATACAACGATCAAGTTAAAATAGAATAAGAAATCATATTTTAAATAAAAGATTCAGTGGTTCCAATTACAAAGCATATTAATAAAGAAAGTAATGCAAATTAATAGAAGTTTAAAAATATAAGCAAGTAGTTTTGCGCCTAGCTACCAAAACCAAGCATAGTCTAATGGCAAAAATGCAAGTGGATTCCAATGTAAGTCAAGTTGCCATGTGATGAGTACGTACCGACAGGCCCACGACTTCAGTTAGACACTTGAGTTCTACGGTTAATTAAGAAGCTTTACTAAGATCTAAAGATCATTTCCAAAACTTCGATCAACGCTTATCAATTCCCAGATTCATGTCAATGTCTTCCATTTCTCTGGCTCTTCTTTCATTCCTTCCTCATCTCATCATTCTTACAGCCCAGCAAGACGACATCACCGCCAAGCTTAACTTCAGCCAATTCATACAGTGGGACTGCTTCGATGAAAATGGAAACCAGTACCCAGATGCAAGCACCTACGGCTTCAACCTCTATAGCCTTCTTTACTCTAACCTCACTTCCGACCCAAACACTGACTATGGCTTCTTCATTAAGTCTCAGGATCATGTTCCCGACCTAGTTAGGGCAATCGGGCTCTGTAGAGGAGATATCACGCCAGACGCTTGTCGTAGTTGCCTTCACATCGCACCTTCACTTCTCCTAAAGGAATGCCCAAATCAAAAGGAAGCGATGGGATACAACGACGGATGCATGTTACGATACTCAAACCAGTCAATATTTGGGTCATATCGGAAACCTGACTACTACCTTCAATATCACAATGAAGATAATGCAACGGAAGCGAGCTTCAATAGAATCGCTAATGATCAGGTGCAGAATCTGACAAGAAAAGCTGCGGTTGGTGACTCCCGTCGCAAGTTTGCTGCATCAGGTACGGATGGGGCTTTCCAAGAACCTGTTTATGGTCTTGTTCAGTGCACTCCTGATTTGATTGCGCATGAGTGCAACAATTGTTTGGAGAAGGCTATAGAGGAAATCAATGGACCTTGTTGTGGAACAAGGCTGGTGCAAGGTTGTCAAACTGAGCTGCAGTGTTAGATATGAGAAGTATCCCTTCTATGATATCAATTCACTGCAACCATCTCCTCCATCTACGGTTAATGCAACTTCTTCACCAGGTATCTTTCCAGCTTAATTAACAATATTGCCAATCTATTATGTATTTTGAGTCATTATTGATGATCATGAATAATCCAAGAATCCTGAGTATGTTTGTCTTTTGCAGGAGACAGCAGCAGGTCAAGAATTGTCATAATTAGCTTGGCTGTTCTGGCGGTTGCATTTATCATAGTTCTCTCCTCCATCTGCGCCTATTCTCCGATTATGAAAACAAAGAAAACCATTGAAAGTAAGTCAAGCCCGTGTTTCCCTTATCACTGTATGAATACTGTTCTCACTGTGACCAACAAAAGTTTGAGACTAAGCTTATTTTCAAAATTATTGTGTTGGCACAAATCATATGGTTTGTTTCGTTTATGTTCAACCTAGAGAAAAAGGCATACATGATAAACAAAAATGTTTAACTCTAAATGATCTAGGATAAACTTAGTTTAAAAATTTTTGTTTGAACCTAGGCATAGCCACTAGTGAGCTGAGGATGTTTGCTCAGTGCTCACGTATACGATCAATGGTGTGTCACATTACAATCAAGGAAAAACGACAAGAACATAGAATATGGTGATAGAGAGTTGTTTATTGAAATGTAGATGTTTAAATTACAACTCTATAGGACATTACATCGTGGTAAGCATAGCAGTATTAGAAATAGCTAAAGGAAATTGAAATAGCTAAGCAAAACAGAAATTACAGAGCAAGCTAGCAGAGAGAGAGAGGGAGAGAATGTCAGGAAAGAAGATTCCAATCATTAGCCTACCTCTCGCAGTTCCCTCTTCACTATTTAATCCTCTCCACCTTGCCCCAAGTCCCTCAGTTTTCACATGAGTTTCTTGGCCCGTCCATTTCTTGTTGGACCCATTTCACCAACCCAAGCCACATCTTCATTTGGTCCACTATCACTTGGGTTTGACTCTTCCTCTTAGGCCATTTCATTTCTGACCATGACATTGCCACCCTCAGTAAGTAGGAGCTTGTCCCTAAGGTCTAACCGAGGATATAAAGCCCGTACATCATCTAAAGCTTCCTAGGTTGATGTCACATCTTCATCCTATTAGACTAAAACAAAGTCTTTGTCTGATCAATCATCGATATTTGCCTTGTGTCCAGAATTGATGAGGGTTGGATTATCTATCCCTTGAATATAGTAAACAATGGTAAAGGCAGTGTAGGAGACTGAATCATTCCATAACAATGTTTTAACATTGATACGTGGAAAGCAAGATGGATTCTTAAACTTGATGATAAATCGAGTTTATAAACTATAGTTCCCAATTGAGCAACAACTTTGAAAGAGCCAAAATAATGCATAGAAAGCTTGTGATACCTTTACAGGCGAGCAAAATGTTATCGATAAGGTTGTAATTTAACATAAACTAGGTCGCCGATGCCACACTGTACTTCTATCCTCTTTATGTTTGCAAAACGCTTTATATGTTCTTGAGCTTTTTTTAAGAAGGACTTGAGAGAGCCGAGTAATTCATCTCACACAACTAGATGTTGATATAAATTCAAAGGTGTGTCTTTTAAGGAAGAATGATGTAGGATTGATAGTAGATCTTTACTGTAAACTACCTTAAAAGGGATCATGCTAATAGAAGAATGATGAGAGGTATTATACCAATATTTTGCCCAAGGTAAGTAATTCAGCCGCTACCTTGGGTTTTCCAATACAAAACACCTTAAGTACACCTCTAAATTCAGTTAGCCGCTTCAGGCTGTAGATGATAAGAGAAACTCATGCATAATTGTGTGCCCTAAAGCTGCACTAAATGTCGCTAAAATGAACTTGTAAAGGCTTTATCCTTATCAGATGCAACAGTGCATGGGATACTATAGAGTTTAACCACTTGACTTAAGAAAGCCTTAGCCACAGTTTGACTTATGTAATTAGTAGTCAAAGGCATGAAATAGCCATATTTAGATAAACTGTCCACTACCACAAAGATGATAGAGTAACATTTCCAAAAGGGTAACCCAGTAATAAAGTCCATAGCTATCTCTATGTGCTGAGGGATGGGTAAGGGGCTTAAGAGACCAGCAGGTTGTAACTGGCTAGATTTTGCTTGTTGACAAGTTGGGCATTCTTTAACAAACTGCCATATATGAGTCCTTATTTTATACCAAAACAACAAAGAAGCAATGCACTTAAAAGTCTTGAAATACCTCGAATGTTCCCTTACTACTAAAGCGTGACACTCATGAAGAATTTTAATAATAAGTTCATCATTTGACTCCGAAATCACTAGGTGATTTTTCCAATAAACATCACCATAACGTACTAAATAATAGGGCATATCCTTTCCTCTATCTAAAATATCTTATTTGATTTGCTGGATATCAGGTGAAGCATGTACTGCAGCATATATTCCATCCATAAAGGTTCTCTATAATTGAGATAGAGCAAAAAATAGGCTTCTCGATAGTGAGTTTATAGCTCAGTTATGGCTCTCAGGTTTGTATTCTATCAAAAATTGGTACCCCAATAATTTTAGTTGATAGGCTTCTTGTAACAGCATCTTTGATCAAATAAATGTTGTAGGCTGGCATGGTCTATGCAAATGAGAAATTGATGACCAAACAAGTGACGTCTAAATTTGGCCACGGCTCTCATGATGGCATGCAATTCCTTAATATAAATTGACTGCTTTTGTATTGTGGGAGATAATTTTTTTAAAAAGAAGGCAATAGGATGACCATTTTGATATAACATAACTCTAATACCTATCCCAGATGCATTTGTTTCTAGCACAAATGGTATATTGAAATCTAGTAATGCTAAGAGTAGGGCCTCAGTTAGTGATACTTTCAAGGAGTTAAAAGCCCATTGTGCTTCTTCAAACCACTAAAATGCATCCTTCTGTAAAAACTTGGTTAAGGGACTCGTAATGTTGGCATATCCTTTCACAAAATGCCGATAATAGCTAGTAAGCCCCAAGAACCCACATAGTTGCGTGACATTTATGGGTTGAGGCTAATCCCATACTATAGCCACCTTAAAAGGATCAAATTCTACCTTTAAGGCTGATACTACATGACCGAGATAATCAATCTTCAACCTCCCAAAATAGCACATGGATCTTTTGTTATATAACTAATAGTCAATTAACACCCATAAAACTACTTCCACATGCTGTAAATGAGTCTCCCAAGAGGGACTATAAACTAATATGTCATCATAAAAAATGAGAACAAATTGTCATAAATACAAGCAAAAAATAAAGTTAATCAAAGACTGAAAAGTAGCCAGAGTGTTTATTAGACCAAACAATATTACTATCTATTCATATAATCCCTGATGGGTCCTGCATATTGTTTTTTCTCAATCCTCTAGGTGCACCAAAATTTGGTGGTATCCCATGTGAAGATCCAACTTAAAGAAATGTAATGAGCCTTTCAACTCATAGAACAATCCATCTATTATTGGTATCAAAAAAGAGTCTTTGATTGTCGCAATGTTAAGCACCTTATAATCGATGCAAAACCTTTATCTGCCATCCTTCTTCTTCACTAAGATGGCTGGAGTTGAGAATGGATTGCTACTGGGTTGGATAAACTCTTTGACTAGCATCTCATTCATAATCTTCTCAATTTCTTCCTTTTGACTATAGGGATAATAGTATGGGTGCACTTTAATAGGTAATTGTTCAGGTGATAAAACAATTCGATGAGTATGACTCCTTCGAAGAGGAAGCCCATATGGCACCTTGAATGCTTTCTCCTATTTAGCTAATGATACAGCTAAATCTGTAGGAATAAACTTATACGAGTCAGTTTTTTGCTTATGATGTGCCTCCGTATTTTTAAGCCTAAATAACTCCTTGAAAGTTGATAAACTGTATCACGAATAGTTCTATTGTGGAGTCCACTTTCATAAATTGCGTCATATAGTGTAATTATGCTAGATTTAATGGTCTAGCCCGAAACCCCTTTAAAGTAACAAACACACCATCTTGCATGAGCTTGATAGTGGAAGTATTATAGTTTGAAACATAGGGTCCAAAGGTTTCTAACCATAACACCCTAATTACTACATCTACCCTGGCCATTAGTAGAATGAATATCAGCACGTTAATTACATGATCGTCAATTTTTACTAGAACATTGGCAATAAATCCTTGTCTAGACATTATTTGTCCAGTTCCCACCATAACTCACAGCACATGGAAAGGTTCAACGATCATTTTCAGATGTTGAACAATGTGGGGGTGGATGAAACTATCGAAACTCCCCTCATCCAGTAGTATTTGGACATCTGTGCTATGAATTTTCTCTTTAAATCTTATAGTAGCAATGTCGAAAGATTCCTCAAAATGCATATAGAGATAGATGATGGATGTTTCCTTCTGTGTAAGCTTTGTTTATGTCCCCTGTTTCTCTTCCACCTCCAGTTCCTCATCTCCTATAAGTATCATCAATTGTTTCTTAGAGCATTAAAGGGTGGGTGAGAATATCTCGTCACAAAAATAGCAAAGCCCCTTTTCCCTTCTAATTTGCATTTTCGCTGAGGTTATCCACCACATAGGAGGACGGCTGGGTATAGGTAATAAAAGGGGTAAAGCACTTTTATTCCCACTACTCAAGGTCCCAGTATTTGCCCTTAGTGCCATTGTGCTTTTCATCGTGACTCCTTGAGGATGAGGAGAAGGCAAAAATGTCATCCGTAATCGTGCAAGTGTGGTCATCAGATTCTCTCACTTGAAAAATAAATGTCCCAAAGCTACAGCTTTGAGTAGTGTTGTGGGTGTTTAGCCACCACATCCCTACAGATTTCAGGTTTTAGACCCCTAATGAAACAGCCCACTAATACCCCTTCAGACAATTCTTCAGAGCAGTTGGCTAGCGTTATAAATGCTCATATGTATTCTTCATAGCTTGTCTGTTATGTTAGCTTAAGGAGATATGCTCGAGCACATTCAAACTTTATCAAACCAAAATGTTATTCGACTGTACGTGTTAAGGTTGACCAAGTGGGAATCAAATTTGCCTTCTGCATTATCTGAAACCATGGTATAGTTAGGCCCTCCATATGAATATTAGCTAAAACTAGCTTTTGTTCTTCTGTGGTTTCACAAAATAAGAAGTACTGTTCAACTCTAAAAATCCAATCTAAGGGATTGAACCCATTGAAGTGTGGGAAGTCAATCCCCAATTGATGATAAGGAATAGTAGTGATAGGTGATTCTAGTGTCTTCTCCAAAATATTCATCTCAGACTAGTCTAAATCACTAGCTTGTGTTTCTCAGCATTCATACCTATTTCTTCCATGAACTTGGCCATTAATTCCATAAATCCTTCAATTCTTACAAATGGCTCTCTTGTGGTGGCCACAAATTCATGCACCTTCTTCATGTTGCTTTGTTATTCCTTTATCTGCATCTTCTCAACTATATTTGTGCTCTCAATAGAAGCACCAAAATGTCACACTACAATCTAGGAAAAATAACAAGAACACAAAATATGGTGATATAGAGTTGTTTATTGAAATGCAAATGTTCAAATTACAACTCTACAGGACATTACATCCTGGTAAGCATGCAATAATAGAAATAGCTAAAGGAAACTGAAATAGCTAAGTAAAATAGAAATTGTAGAGCCAGCCGCCAGAGAGAGAGAGAGAGAGAGAATGTTAGGAAAGTAGATTCCAATCATTAGTCTGCCTTTCACAATGCCCTCTTCACTATTTAATCCTCTCCACTTTGCCTTCAAGTCCCTCAATTTTCACGTTGGCTTCCTGGCCCGTCCACTTCTTCTTGGACCCATTTCACCAACACAAACCACATCTTCATTTGGTCTACTATCACTTGGGTTTAACTCTTCCTCTTAGGCCATCTCATTTTTGACCATGACATGGTAGTGTGGTGATAATAGGGTATAATAGTGTGTTGAAGATAAAATTTAAAATATTTTCATTAAATTTTATAATTCTTTTTCTCTGGAAAACTTTGAGTATTGGTCTATAAATTTTTCTAATTTATTTTTTGGCAAAATAAAACCAACTACTACTAAGATAATTTTAAAACAAAACAGCTTTGGTGGTAATATTTAGGCAGATTCATTGTTAATTTATGGGTTTTTAATTTGAAGAAATAAGTTAACCTGTCCCCTCCACACAGTTAAACTTGAAGATAATCAAGATGAAATCACGCCAATTGAGTCATTACAATTCCACTTTCATACCATCAGACTTGCGACAGATAACTTTTCTATTGAAAATAAGCTCGGACAAGGAGGATTTAGACAAGTATATAAGGTACACTAACAATGTTACGTAGAGATATATAATTATAACCATTTTGTCACAATAACAATGAGGTACATGCATAGTTATCATAAAATAAACTACATGTTCAGATTGACTTTGACAAATGCAGGGTAGGCTCTCTAATGGAAGAGAAATCGCTGTCAAAAGGCTGTCCATGGATTCTGGGCAAGGAGACTCTGAATTTAAGAATGAAGTATTGTTGGTGGCCAAGCTTCAACACCGCAATTTAGTGAGATTACTTGGCTTCTATTTAGAAAGAAAAGAAAGGCTCCTTGTTTATGAATTTCTTCCCAATAAAAGTCTTGATTACTTGCTATTTGTTAAGTATTTAGTTCTGCTTTAGCTTAATCTAAATTATGTTTATATTGCTTTCTTTCTCTTGTATGAAATGTTAATGCATTTTTTAGACCTTTATTTTAAGAAGGAAATTCTAAACTGGCTTGAAATTATTATATTGTAGCTCCAAAGCAACAAGCTTATCTAAAATGAGAGACGTGATACAAAATCATAGGAGAGGCATTACTCGTGGCTTTTTTTATTTTTATAAGGATTTAAGATTATGAATTATTCATCATGATCTTAAAACAAGTAATATTCTTTTAGATGAAGAAATAAATCTTAAAGTATCAGATTTTGGTATAGCAAAACTATTCTTCATTAATCAAACTCAAAGCAACACTAGTATAATTGTTGGAACCTAGTAAGTAGATTATTCACCTCAAATAAGACTAGTAATATATATGGTTGATTAACCAATAGTTTATATTAACATGAATGCAATAGATATATGGCATCAAAATATGCAATGCATGGATAGTTTTTAATAAAATCAGATATTTTTAGTTTTGGTATATTAGTTTTAGAGATTGTAAGTGGCAAGAGAAACAATACCATCCTTCATGAGGAGAATGCCCATGATCTATTAAGCTTTGTAAGTCTTTTATTTTAACCTCCCTTTCTCTTATTCTTTCATATGTACACGTTGATTCTAAGGTTAATTAACAATATATGCTTTAGCTTGCTAACATAAAATTGTAGATGATGTAACTTAGTTTGAACTAGCATGTTTACCACTGATGAGGAACTTCTTGCAGGCATGGAAAAGTTGGAGGGAAGGACAACCTCAAATATAGTAGATTCATTATTAAGTGATGGATCAATAAAGGAAATGACAAGATGTATACACATTGGTTTACTATGCATTCAAGAAAATATAGGAAACAGGCCGACCATAGCTGACATTGCACTTATGCTCAGCAGCCACTCATTCTCTCTCCCTTTACCTTCATAGCTTGTATTCTTAATGAATTACAGAACTTTACCAGACATGAGTTTGAGGGAGTGTAGTTCAGGAGTGACAAGGTCCACTGAACGTGACACTACTAGCTCTATTCAAGCATTAAGTAAACGAGAATATAACTTTGTTCAAGCATCTGAAATTGTAACCTCAGTGAATCCTGAGCAACATTCTCGCTAGGTGTTGTCCTTGAAGGTTATATATATATATATATATATATGTTTGGTTTGCTCAACTTCTATATTTACTACACAAAGTAAGTCAAGTTTCTCTCAACATTTTTCTAACTCTGCGGTATTGCTATGATTATAGGTTTACTACGCAAGTTAATTCCCTGGCTCATCTTCGTTACATGTTGTAATTCTGAATTAAGTTGTATTTAATCTTGTCATATTGTTATTTAATTTGTTGGCCAAAAAGAATTCTGTGATTGATTAATTTCTAAACTTACACTTGCACCAGAATCTCTCGGTGCTATAATATGCTCACCAACCTTGCCATTTGAGAACAATGCTAGTGAGTGAGGTATTCGATATTGGACTCTCTGAATTGGTAGATAGCTATCTGGTGCATGTTATTGCTTATTTTTATATCTCAAAAGTTTTCATTTCATGATCCAATAAATAAAAGGTTAATCAAATTAGTAAGAATTAATATTAACCCATAATCTAAAAGGTTGTTGCCACATCCCAAAAATAGACGTGACTGATATGGGATATACGCATAAGTATACATCTCTTAAGCCATGGTCAAGGAAACTATAATATAATATTTAATATTTATTTTCAAAACATAATTAGGTTTATATTCAAATTTTTTTTCCACCTTTAATAATGTCCACCTATAAAAAAAGTTGTAGAGTATGTGTGTGTGTGTATTTGTAAAATTTTTGGTAAAGCCTCCTTTATAAATAGAAACTCCTGAAAATTTTACAAATATAATATTTCAATCAAACTATTAAATCAATCAGGAGCAAAGCTCCTTTCAAGCCAGCAAACAAAATATATAATCACATAAATAACTTAACTACAGACTATATGGAGCACCAAAAATAAGTTTACAAAATAAAATTTTATAACCAAAACTTTACATTAAAGAAAGTTTAATCTTTAACTCCTCTACTTTGAGTCCATAATAGACTCATCAATGTTCAACAAGTAGTTCAGCATCAATTACATTGTTTGAGAACAAAAATATTTTCAGTGAATAACATCCGAATAATAAAGTTAGAGAAGATAGCTGAATATTTTTAAATAATTATAAACAAATTAAAAAGAGTCACTAAATTCAAAACTTTAAATATCCCAACAACTTCACAAATGCTGAACTATTAAATTTTTAAATAAATAAATAATTTATCGCATGGCTTTAAGAAATCAAGTAAATTAAATAATTAAATATGAATAGAAATTGTGTATTATTTTAACAAATACAAATCCAATAAGATTAATTTGTTTATGAGGACTTTACAAAATAGATAACAGACTGGACACATAGTTCATGGAGTAAGTAACTAAACACAACTAAAGCAACAAAACAAATATGGACACATGAGAGTTATTAACCAAACAAAGGCAAGGCCACGAAACAAACATGAACACACAGTCCAGAGGATAAGTAACTAGACACGGTCAAAGCCATGAAACAAATACAAGTACATAACCCACGAATAACAAATTTGAGAATAAAGCTCACGAAAATCAAATTAGCTAGTTATTAACCATGGCGCGTCATGAGTTAATAGAACTACTATTAGCAACTAGAGTTTTTATAAATAGTTTCTTTTAAATTCACTTTCAAACATGCAAGAAAATTATCACTTTCAAAATAATATTTCTCTTCTCAATGTCAAACTCGCATAAAATATATAGAAACATCATTCTTTTCAAATATGAAAATTCAAAACTAATATTTCATAAACTGTTTATCAATTTTCATAGTTGGCTTTATCCAATAAAGGACTATTAGAATTTGTAAAAGTATTGTTGTTAATCTAAAAAGTATAAGTCATTACTTCAAGAAATAAAACAATTTAATTAACCAAAAACTAGCTAATGCAAGTGAAATATATTGATAATTATAAATCTTTGAAAACCATGTCTTGATAAAAGGAAATTTTTAATATATAAATTGTTTTGGGACATTATCTACTTATGTACAGTGTTTTTAATTTTCAAAGATTTTCTCACTTTAGTTCTTATCAAAATATTTTTCTTCCACATCCCCTACAAGAATATAAAATAATGCAATTTAATTAAATTTCTATAAATTATAAAGATTTCTTTTCACTTCTAACTTAATCTCAAAATTAAATCATAAGGCAATACTATACTTTAGAAATTAATAACCATGAAATTCTCAAGAATTCACTTAATCTCTCAATGACATAAATAAATCTTTTTACAATATTTGATTCAAATTCACAAATGACTAACACCTCAAGACAACTCATGTTTCTCGTGAGATCCAATAGAGTTATAGAAAAATTCCTATTCAATTATCTTCTTTTGCAATTTTCAAGTTAAATTCATAAGATAATACCATCCCAATCAATTATGTCTTCTAAAGAGTTTAATGAGATTTTTAATAATTACAATTTCAAGCAAAACTCTTCAAAGTTATTTTATCACCTTATGAGCATTACTTCTTAAACAAATACCAACCTCTTCGTCTTCAATTTCACTTCCAAAATTTCATAATGTTAATATTACAACCAATAATCAAATCAAACTCAATTAATACTCAAATCTACATCATCATTTTTAAATTTAACTCAAGCTTCCCTTTTATATTCAAACGCATATACAGCCACGAGCATCAACAAAACACAAGGAAAATTTGCAATTTCAACTCTGTAACATCACACACTCACAGATTTATCAAGGAGAAAAAAACAAGAAGAGGTCAAAGTTGCTCACTTTAGATGAACCAACGTAGCACAAACAGGGAGAAGAAAATGAAACCACAGCTGAACAGGGAAAGAAGATAATAGCATTAAATTAGCGTCCTACTAATGAATCATTTTTCTAACAGCATCAAATCAGCTCTTCACTTATTCACCACTCATGAATAGGAAGAATGAAGGAGGAGGAAGAAGGTTCAACGGCACAAACAGTGAAAAAAATGCAGAGATCGATGATTGAGTGAAGGAACATAGATTCACAACTTGAATTACTAGTAGTGGCCACACGTTTGCAACGTCGGCGACTTGATTCTCACACCCATCAGCAACACATGCGTGAACGAAGAGGACTAAGCAAAAACAAAGGAGACAAATAGAGACAGGAAGCATGACGGAGAATCTGGGCATGCACAGTGGCGGCAAGCCTCCACCTTTGCTAGGGGCCACTAAAAATAGAAGGGAAGAGACGAAGTGCAATGGAGGATGAATTATTGGCAGAAAATCAGAGCTCTTTCCTTCACACATGGTTCTGGAAAAATCGAAGAAGGAAAGGAAGATATATATTCAAATTTGAAGAAGGGCATAACGGTAATTTTAGGAAGAGCCGAAGGAAAAAAAAAAAAAAAAAACCCACTCTTAGCCTCCCTAAGGTTCAAACTTTGGATGTCCTAATTAAATGGCTATACTATTTCCAACAGGTCAGCTCTTGTTTCTTGCTATATTTACTCAAAAATTAATAAAAATAAATTTAAAACACAATATTATAATTGTACTTAAAATTTCTAGGTTATTACAGCTGTAAAATCAAATTCATTCTAATACAATGAACTTATTGATAAACAATCTATAAAAATTTTTGTAAATGTTTTTTGAGTTGAAGATATGTTCACCGGGGAATCCAACTCTAGTATTTAAACTTTCTTGTATAAAAATAGGTCGAACTTTTGTTTTTGGTTTCAGTAATGGGCTTGGCTTGGGCTTGAATATGTAAAAGGGCCCAATATCCTTATGGCCATGGAAAGCCACAAGACAAATACAAAGTTAAATATGCAGCACGATTGCCCTCATGCAAAGCGATGGTGGAGTATGTTCGGCCTGATCTTATGGATAAGTTTTGTAGGCTGGAACAGCACGAGTGACTGTGTTGGAATATGAAGACTTGGGTGGGTAATACTTTCACCCAGATTGCCGATGGCGGTCTTGAAGAACCATCCTCCTTTATTTTTAAAGTTGCAGAAGATGTTAAGCTTCAGAGAATTTTAAATCACCTGTGAATCCAGGTTTGATTGGCACTCAAAATAGCAGGAATATGCAGGCCATCCGACTTGAAACGGATGGTTCCACCCTCTATGAATGGTTATGGTACTTGTAGATGTATTTTGAAGGATGCAGATGGTACCTGGATCCTCGGTTTCAATCAGAAATTGGGTCATGTCCCCCCCCCCCCCAATATCTCTAAAATTTATGGTATTTTGATTGGCTTGGAATTATGCTGGCAAACGGGTTTTAAGACTGTGAAGGTCTTTTGTGATTGTGTGCAAACTACCTCTACTATCATAAGGAACAACCATGGTTATCAACCTTTCCAAGACATAATTGACTTTACTAGAAGATTTTTGTGTAGACAATAGGCTGTTAGTTTTAATTTTGTGTACAGAAAAAATAATAAGGAGGCCGACTATCTTACTAAGTTGCGCTACAATCTTCCTAATAGCTCTAACTTTTATAATGTATTCCATCTTACTTACGCTTTTGTTTACCTTTTGGTACGTTAGGTTTTTTTTCTCTCCTGTTGAGCTGTTTCTGCTCTTTATTCTCTGTTGTTGGTTTATTTTCGGTTGAATGAAGTTCCCATTTGATTCCCAAAAAAAAAAAAAATGGTTAAATATGGAAGGGCCCAAAAGTAAGCATCAAAAGACAAATGCAACAATATCTACTATGTGCGTGTTCTGAAGGTTTTGTTGTTATTTTTTTAAACCTAATATATGTTCTGAAGTTGAAAGAATGGGGAAGTGGGCAAAAATCTGTGCCCATTGTAACACAAAATGTTCAGAGGAACTTGAATTCTTTTTGAGAGGAAAACTTCTCTCTATTCATCGTTGAACATTTGAATCAAGGTTAGGACACAGTTAAGTTTTTTCGCTTTTATCCTTATAAATAGTGCCTTCAAAACGTTCTCAACAAGTCCATCCCATTCCCAATGCATATACATTTTTTTAAATTAATTAAAATATACAAAAATGAACAAACAATTAAATCGAATATTTATTAAAGATTGTAAATTTTTTAAATTTTGAGAAAATGACCAAGGTCCTGGGTTGGTAAAACTTTTT